GGTTTAGGGAAAGAAAAACAAAGTAGTTATGATTCAGTTCACAATTTCGAAGATATGAAGGCATTAAAAAAACGTCTCCTTCAACACTTCCCGCCTCGCCTACGAAGGTTCGTGCTGTAAACTCGGCTTCAATGATTACTACCCAGAGCTTCTTTCAGTCCAGTCGCTCAGGCTTGAGTTGGTCTACGACAACATTTTTTGAATTGACTGTATGGTCTTTGGCTTTCCGGGTTTACTTGCTGTCATATTATAGCCATAAAAAAATTCTTTAGTTAACAAATAAAATACATTTACTGTGTTTGCGCACGCTAATGCAAACCGAGATGTGGTTGGGAGAATTCGAGAGCAGATCAGTGCAAACACGAGCCGTAGGCGAAATTATTTAGTTTTAACTAACTATTTCCCTCGCTACCAGACATTAAGTGTATATAATTTATTTTATTCGACTCATGACTCACAGACTCACGACTCATTGTCTCACCGGACTCATAAAACAGACGACCTCGACAGGAAAACGGCTTCCTGAAACTTGCCAAGACAGCCAATTCCCATATTTAGAGCATCCTTTGATCAATGATCAAAACTGTTCACTAACAGACGATATCAAMCCAGCTAAACTGCTTGGAATCCAAATTCGTACTTCATTATCCTACAAGCATTATCCTATCTGGTTATTTTGGTCAAAGGAGGTTTTTACGGGCTTTCAAACCACACTGTTACAAGTTCAACTCTTCCACAAGTTTGTAGAACCTTACAGTAAATCTTATTTAGAATATACTAAGAGATCTACTATATCACACGTAACTAATGTATTTATGCACTGATTGATACAAATTAACACGTATAACTTACTTGAAATACGAAGAGGAGAACAAGAACTAGTACTGAACCAGACGATTGCTTCGCCTTCAACAGACAAACAGGAAATGCAAATCAAACAAGCAGATAACAGCACAGGGAACCCGGCTATATTTTTTTTGCTTCTTAAACTAACCTAGGATTTAGGCCTAAACCGGGTTTAAATTTTCTTATCGCGGTTTAGTTAATCTGTGGTTTAAATATCGTTGTTCAAAGCTAGATTACATTAGTGGGTCGATTAACTAACCCCCAACACTCAAAAGAAGAGTCTTGAAACACGTTAATTTTATCCCGGGGAGGGGAGGGGGGGTACTGCCCTATATATACGAATATACATGATTTACCTGAAATATTTAATGAAGAAGATTTAGAACTAACAAAATTAGATGAAAAAATAACCAAGTGTCTTCCACTGCAAGTGAATTTCTAAGCTATAAGAAATGCTCATTGTGATCTTTTTTCTAAGTAGAAAACACAATTTCTTTATCTTTTACGACGCCATATTGGTCACACTAATTCAATCAATCCTAGAATTCATTGCGCACTCATTTCCTAGAAAACGTGAGACATTTTTGAGAATCGTTTATAAAGCTTTATTCTCATTATTCTTGAAAGTCTACAAGTCTAGAAATAATCAGACTCACGAACAGTTTAATCGAAAAATTTTCTTCTCCCACGAAAAAAAGAAAAAAAGAAAAAAAAAAAAGAGAAATGGCGTTCCACTCGGGTTATTTTAAGACTACGTCTCTTCCTCGTTCCTAGTCTTCACCATTCCCCAATAATACAGGAAGCCCAATTACCTGGATCTACAGACTGCCGGAATTTGGGTCGCGACATTCACGATATTATAAAATGATTCATTTAGTAATTTCGCTGTTTTCTAGTGAAATTACTGAGTGAATAATTTTTAAATGTTTGAAAATTCAGCAGCCTGGACGAGCCTTTAGCTTGAAGTTCAAAATTTCTTTTATGACGAAGATTCTATTGAACAAACCTTTTCTGTCTCGGTCGGGGTAGAGGGATTTTGTCCCCTTTTTACCGACTTTAAAAAAGTAAACTCGAGGGACAATACAACAGTTTAAAAACCCGAAAAATTACTAGAACTAAATAGCGAACCGATCATCCTTTATCTGGGAGGGTGGGGGGAACTGGTGGAAAACAGGGTGGCCCTTCATAATTTTCTAGCAGGCCCCCCCCGAATCAACCAGTGTTTTTTTGGCTGCCCCCCTCGCCATACCTAGAAAAAAGTGTAAGTCGAGGCCTTTTTTCCGGATGCCCCCCCCCCCCGCCAAGCTAAAAAATGATCGGTCTCTAGCACGAAACAGTAAAAAATTCCATGGTTGTCTATACCACT